TAAACTTTTGGCTTAAACCCCCCCCCCCCCATGTGTATGATAAGTGTCCTATTCCCCCTGTTACAAAGTGATTAAACAGGAAATCTGATCTGTCCTGGGAAGCCTTGCCTGGTCTCTTCTCATGGATGGTTAAGAAATTGGGAATGGCTGAATAGTCGCATATATTTTAGTGGCAATTAACAACACTAATTAAAAAATTTCACCTACCTGCTAACAGAGCTGTGACATTGGCTCAATAAGGAAGTAGAACTGAGCCATCTTGAAGTAAGCAGCACTAGGAGCATGTATTGAGGGGCATGTGCAAGTGGGAAACAGGATAAAAGTGTATACTTAAGTGTCTTAAAACCACAAAGACAGCAATTCTGTGGAAATCAAAACCTGTATTTTATATTTAGATATAATTTAATTTATTTATATCTGAGGAATTTATGCTAACAATGGAGATGTTTGGACCTATCCAAATCTTTATTCAAATCTGTCTCTTTCTAAACTGAGTCTGTTCTCATGTGATTACATGCCATAAACTCTCATAAATGGTAGTGGGAATTACATATGCATACCCCCATCAGAATAGGCCACTTGGGGTATGTCTAGGTATGCCTACACTGGCAACAGTTTGCCTGAAGTAGGACAGCCCAAACTAGGGCTTCTCAGGCATGCCTGAGAGTGACCCAAGGGATAAGCGTGGAGTGGTTTCTTTTAACATATTTCCGTGACTGGTGGGTGCATGTAAGTGGGAGTGGGTGGGTGGATGGAGCATGCTCAGGAACCATCTTGCCCTGAGTGTGCTTCTGCCACAGTGTAGACACCTCCTTTAAACCCAGTCCATGCTCAGGCAAGCAGTAAATGATCTGAAGAATGGCTTCAAGATTAGGGCAAGGGATCAGCAAGACAGGTTGTTAAGTTAGTAGGTACACAGAAAGGATCTCCTGTAAATCTCTGCAGTTTCAGGGAAGTTCATGTTTAAAAAATTGCTTGTTCTAGTTTGAACTTTAAACAGAGGCAATGCACATTTTACTGAGCAAGCCTCCTGTCTGCACAGTTCTGTAGTCTTCACTTAGGGAGATGCCTGCTCAAGTCAATGAGAGTTTTTTGTGTGAATGAGGACTATGTGGTTGAATTATTTTTTAATATTTTTTATCTGTGTGCCATTTAGATGGAGAAGTGTAGACTACGTGTTACTTTAAAATCTGACCTAAATCAATATATTTTCATAAGAACTTACATATAAAAAACATTACTTAACCTCTAGCAAACTCTGCAGCTATGCTAAGTTTATCTTTTAAATGTTAAAATTATTTTACCATTTGCCATTGCTCAAGTGCATACATTATATGTAATACAAAACCTTTCGTAAGAAGTCAGATCTCACATTGTCATTACTTGTAAGAAAATCAGAATGATATATATAACTCAAGTGTGGAGAAATAGAGTGAAAATAGCCCCAAAATACCTCTAGGCTGTTTTCACATCTGTTAATACTTTATTGAAACAGTTTTCTCTTCACTTTATGGAAATATATTTATTTGAAGAATGTGTCTGAATGTACAGGAGAGGAAGGGGATAGAATTACCACATTGAAATGAAAATTTAGCAAACATTGTATTTTAGGTTTTGTCAGTGTTTTGTTGTTTTGAAAGGTTTGTTTCATTCCTTCTGTGTAAATCCTGCCCAGAATAAAACTACTCTTAAAGAGACGTAGATTTGAGTGTTATGTTTTCATTCAGGTTCTCATAATTAAGGTTAACACAATATTATTACACTTAAATAATATATATTAAATACGTATAAGAGTAATGTATTAAATACATATGTATATAATACATATAAAATCACATCACCATCATGTATGTATGGAATAACAAGCAATATGTATATAATAATATAAATAACATGTATTTAAAGAATAGTGTATGTAAGAGTGATACTTAATAAGTATTAAATAATAAACTTGGCATTCACTTCCTTTGGGGTGTTGCACTAAAAACCTTACTGTTGCTCCCAAGCTATTTTCTCTTTGTAAATACGTTGTCCACTTCGCAATCTTGATGTACACATATAACCTGTGCAACACTGAGGCTCTAACCCAGTGATTTTCAGCCAACAGGCCACAGCAGCTTGAGTTGCCTTGAGATCCCTTCAAGGGTGCTGCAAAGTGCTACAATGTTCTTAAGTCAATGGGAGTTGAGGGCGCATCCCCATTGAAGCACCAGAAGCTTAATTATATTGACATGCATTTCATCCTCCCAAACAAGACTGAGATGGTATAGCTGGCTTGGAAGAAGCCTCTGAAGGTGATAACGGAGGGGAGGATATCAGCTCCTTGGAGGAAACATGTCTGATTACTAGAGTCTGCTGGTTGAGGGTAATTTTTACTTACAACTTTAACCTTTTACAGGCTGCTTCTGGCTAGGGGATTGCTGTCTTTGGACGCAAAAGTTGTTCTGATCCATTTCTCTCAGATGAAGATTAGACTCTTACAATATGCATTATAGGTGTTTCCATCTTAACACCATTACAAGATTGAAGATGTGATCAGTAAAGCTACTTATGTTGGATCCTCGCTTTTTATATCAAGAGGGGGCTGTTGCCATTGGTATATAGCAAAGGAACTTTACCCTTCCCCTGGATCTCAATAGCCTGAATTTGATTACCTTTCAGGCATGCTACCAAAGCCATTTTTAAAAACCATGTTTTAAAAAAAAGTTGGGGTGTTTTGGCTGAACTTATTTGCTTGAGTAATTCACGTTGTTGGTCTTTTTTACTGTAATATTAGTTGTTTTTAAGGAGGCTACAGCTTTCTGTATGGTTAGAGGTGGGGGTTTATCTAAAAGCTGTCTATTACAGAATATTTTTAATAATTCAAACACATGTTCCTCTGCATAGGGAAACACTGCACTAGAAATGCTTCATCATTTGACATGCTTCCCCTATAGACAAATTACATCAAGAGGTTTTTTAATATTAAGCCCTCCATCTCTCTAAGCAACAGGTACACCTTTGGAATGAGATGAATGTGGATGGTGTCTTAAATATTCACTATGTACATCATCCCCAACCTTTGTGTGGATAACAACTTTGACTCAAGGTGGGGGACTTTGGGGTGTGCCAATGCTACTGCTGGGAGAAAACCTGGAGGTTCCTGGCTGGGGGATCTTGCCTCTCCACTTAGGGTCAGACTGGTCACCATGTTTGTGGAGAGGAAGGAATTTTACCCTGTGGTCAGACTGGTATGAACTGCGGGGGGGGTTTGCTTTCCTCTTCGGGGGGACGGGGGGTGGCATGGCCATCTCTGCAGGATCTCTTGATCATATATTGAGCATATATTGACAACATGTCACAGAAGCAGAATATTAGTTGCTGTGGTTCCCCTGCTTTACCTGTGGCAGGTTAGGATGCGAGTTGTGTCAGGGTCGATGGTAGTATGCAGGATTTATTAGTAATGCAGAATGGGGTGGTTTGGATAGAGATGATCCGAACCACAGGCAGGAGGGTTGGACTAGATGACCTCTGGAGTTCCCTTCCAACCCTACTTCACTGTGCAATAAGTCAAATATTCATTAAGTACTAATACTTAATTAGTCCTGAAGTAGGAAGTTTAACAAAAGGAAGTTCTTATTCACACGGTACATAATAAATGCTAGAGGCCACAAGTGGGAGAGGTACAGTGGAAAAAACCCTAGGCATACCCAATTCACCCTGTGTCTAAGCCCCCACTCTGACCCTGCAACAAGAGACTGGGCCTATGGTCCTGACCCAGTAAATACCAATTCCTATGTTCTTACAGCAGCCCCTCTGCCTCCAACTCTGCAAAATGTGCCCAGCAATTTTGTCTTGGCAATGAGCTCTTTAATATGGGGATGGGGAAGGCCTTAACAGCTGTGCTGAGCAAAAATGTTCCTAACACAAATGTGCCTTGGGCTGGAGAAGGTTGGGAAACATCTTTTTTTTACTTTAAGAAAGATATTAAGATAAAAAAGATATAATGTCATGCTTATACAGAAGTACAGTAACCAGTCCTTTGTGCCCTGCTCAAAGCTCCTTGGAGGAAACATGTTTCCAAAAGCGAAGCAGCTGGAAAAGAAAGGCAGACTGCCACATGCAGCGCCTCATTTGGATGTGTCTGGAGTCTTGGAAGCTTGACTACCCTACGTTCTCCTACAAATGGACCTTGAGCTTGTTTGGAGGTTCTAGCAGGGGAGCGCAGCTATCGTATACCCTTGACCGAAGAACGGTACTCCTCTAGTCTGGGAAGGTCGTCCTCTTCGACCGAGCGCGCAGCTTCGGGAGGGACGCACATGGAGCGGTGAGGGAGGAAGGGGACACCCGCCTAGCCAGCCAGATCAGCCGAATCAACCCTGGCGATCAATGGGGTGACAGATGTCGCAGCCAGATCGCCCTCACATCCAAAGTTGTTTAAAAGCCTCTGCGGTATATAAAGCTCGCAAGCATGGATGATTTTCACGTTATGATAAGCTAAATGGTCTGTGCAAATGAGGACAGCAAAGCGGAGAAGACTGTTCTATGAGTGCCTACGTGCGAGTGTCGCCCCATACGCCTGGTCATTTCCAAAGAGGGAGCCCCTAAGCTCCCTTAAATTGTCCTCCCGAAAGCCTTTGCGGCACTTGCAAATGACCAGCCTCCCCATTGGCCGCTCACCCCGCTGGCCCCGCCCATTCCCGCTGGAGGAAGCGGCGCGGCGCGGCGGGAGCTGTACTGGTGCAGGCGGAGCGGGCGCGGGGTGATCGTCCCGGGGCGGCAGGTGCGTGCGTGCAGGGTTGGGGGGTGCGGGGTGCATGTGTGTAGGGGAGTGTGGCTGTGTGTAGGGCTGTAGGGGCCTGTGTAGTGGGGGTGTTGGCGGGGTGTAGGGTTATGTGGTGGGGGGTGTAGGGCTGTGTGTGTATGGGGGGGTGTTAGATTGTGGGGAGGGGTGTATAGTTGTTGGAGTGTGTAGGGGGCTGTTGGGTCGCTAGGGTTGTGTGGGGATGTCAGGGTGGGTGGGGATGTGTGTGCAGGTGTATAGGTTTGTTGGAGGGTTGGGGATGTTGCAGGGTCTAGGATTTGTGGGGGCGGGGGGTTGGACTCAGGAGCCATGGGCAGGGTCTGCGCTGGGGTGGGGGGTTGCCACTCCCTGTCCGGCCTCTTGGCGTCTCCCCTTCTCCCTGTCTGGTTCCCCTCTCCCCGTGAGCTCTGCTAGTGAGCCATGAAGTGCCTCTGCCTTGCATGGTACTCGACCCTTAGCAGACTAGCCCCAGTGCAGAGGCCTGGGGGCATCCAGAGCTGTGCTGAACACGGGCGGTCGCTGCTGCTACTGCTGGCCGCATGGGCATAGGTGCCACCTGTCCTCTGAAGAGGGGGAACTGTTCTGTGCCACTGGGCAACCTAAATTCCCACTACCCTTCTGGAGTGACCTGCTTGGACAGCAACTCTTGGTGTTGTGTTCAGAGAGGAATGGCATGAAATCAGTGAAATGGAAACCCTGTAGTAAGTTCTGCTCTCAGTTGCTAACACCAAGATTGCAGAGTGAGACTGAGGCAAAACCTCAACATTGGAAAATGGGACCTGTTTGAGCCAAGTTCTCCCCTCTGGTTGCCCAGTGCTGTATTGTCTGTTTTGGGGGGCTTTTTTTTTGGCTCTTTCATGTTTGCTTCCTGGTGTAGGGAGAACAGAGAGCAGGTCTTCCATCTGCTGCATGGATCCAAGGGCAGAGTGAAAAAGCTAATCTATATCCCTTTCCTCACTGTTCTTTCTCCCACACAAACACATGCGGCCTTGGTACTCCCACACAAACACAGTCCCAAACTTTATGGGTTCAATGGCCTCAAACCCTTGCCTGATTAGTCAAGGCATGCAACGGAGGAGGAACAATGATCACCAGGGCTCAGGGAGAAGACGATTTATCTAGGATTTACGGAAGGCATAGATAAGAAGCCCTTGCCACAGCTTTACTGGATGCCTCACTTGAAGGTCTCTCGCCCTGTGGGCTGTCTCAGTGTAGCTTTTAATCATATGTGAAGGGCAGTATCTTGCTTATGGGTAGGATTATAGGACTGTGACAGCTGGGACCTGGCCTCTGAATCTTAGAGGCATAGATAGCCCAATGTTTGATTGTGTTAGGAACAGCTTGGAATCTGTTTAGGGCCTGCCATGTGCAAGGAGCAATACCCTAGTTTAA